GGTGAAGCGCAAGGCACGCATCCCCGCCACTCCTCCGCCCGCTGTGCGGGATGCTTCAGCTTTAAACTGTTGGTCCACGCTAGCGCGGCTCATTGCGGATGGGATTCGGCTAGACAAGCAGCCGGCCCTGCAAAAATGCTTCCTCCAGCAAGCAGCTGACAAAGTCGATGAGATACATAAGTTTTGGACTGGTGACCTTGGTTCTTGCTTGGCCATGCCGGCCCTCAAGTGTGGTCTTCAAGTCCTTGCTGTTGCAAATCCAGAGCTGTAGCAACCGCTGGTTGGAAGACGTAAAGCCCAGGAGCCCATGGGTCGGGCCATCAAAGGGTGTCCTCGCTGAGGTCGTGCGCAACACGGGCATGCATCAAGTCAGCCTGCTTGTTGACATGCGGAATGCATATGATCGCACCGACAGATTGCTTCTCCTTCAAGATGCTGAGGAGTTTGGAAACCTGGCGTTGCTCTTGCAATGGGCCTACCAGTCCATAGTGGGCCGCGAATCTTGGTTGCTGAGTCCATAACCAGTGAACCCATCGAGCCACGGCACAGTATCCTAGCTGGATGCCCACCTTCGGTTTCCCTATGCAAACTTTACCTTTGGAAGCCTGTTAAATTTACTCGTTTCCCAGGCACCTGCTCAGGCCTCCACTTTCATTGATGACATTTCGTTTGATCTTCATGGTCTGGTAGGGCGGAAGAACTGACCAGACGTTTTCTTGAGACTGCTTGCGCAGCTTTGACAGGAGCTGGAGGTCAAACACGAGCTCAGAAGAGCTTTCGACAAGGTCCAGCAGGAAAGAGAGTTTCAGCGTCAGGCCGTCCCACCGGTCCGTGATGTCATGAAGGACCTTAGAGTTGACATTACTCTTGGTAGGCTGCGACGTACAGGAGTACAACAAGGCAGACTGTCCCAAGGAGTTCAGAGGGCTCAGCGTCTCAAAGATCTTCCGGCCATGGTTCGGAGCAACATTTACCCGATGTTGGATTGGATCGTTTCACCGCACAGGTGGCGTCTGCATCAAGGGTTAGGCGAAACTTGGCTGTTTGAGTATGGCGTTAAGGCTGCATCTTGAACTGAAACATGATCCCCGGCACCTGGTCCTTACTCAACAGTTTGAAACCTGGTTCACCCTCATCCAAGCGCAGCCGGTCGAAACCATTCATCTGCTCGCTAAAGCTTGGAAAGTGCGCCAGCGCACCATATTGACCCAGCCGTTCCGTTGGCGCTATGCCCGAGGTCTCCTCGCCGCGCTGCAGTGCAGTCCCAAGGATTGTGGATGGGAGGCACCTCATTTTGATGAAAGGCCGAAGAATGATGTCACCCACCACGTCATCTGGGATGGCCCAATCCACAGGTCGTCAGGCTCACTCAGCATGTTCAGGACCTGCGTGAGGAGGACATAAGCAAACAAGCAGCTCGCCATCAAAGAGGCAAGGGAGCTGCGTCGGGCCTGGATGGCACGGCCCGCGCGACATCTTCAAATTCTTCAAAAACATGCTCCTCGTGACTTGCCTGCCCTGTACACTGTTCTTGAAGGGAGTCTTCCTAGCTCGCAAAACGACGTGCTGGAGCGCTGTCCCAAATGGCCCAATTGTGGTGCTGACCCTACCCTCAAACACCTGCTTTGGGAGTGCTCTTGCTTGCCGCTGTCCAGAAAGCGCCAGCTGCATGGGAAGAATTCCTAGAGAGGTGTGCGCCTCAGCGCTGGACTCAGTGGCAACGTCAGACCGTATCTTCCGAAGCGTCACCAATGCTTACATCACCGAAAAGGGTTTCTTTGCCGACAACGTACCCACAGCACATCCCTCGTGTGTCGTTTTTGGGACTGATGGCAGTGGAGGAAGCTGCTCCCATGATCGTCGCATCAGAGTATGTGCACGGGCAGTTGTCGCGATATGCCCTCACAGCGGCGTTGAACTGGGTCGTATGCATGGGCCTCTCCCTAGGAGGCATCAAACAGTGCCGAGATCCAAGATATAGTGTTGTACTGACAGCCTCATTTCGGCCCGACGTTTCCGGAAAGCTAATAGCACTCCAAAACCGGGCAATCAAACGTTTCGCCAATCCAGACTTGTGGCTTGCTGTTAAGCAACACGCCACTACCAACCGGATCAAAATATTTTGGATGCGTTCCCGCCAGCAAACTCCTGGCGAGCCGACCCTACTTTGTTGTCTTGGTGTCTTAGGGTCAACCAACTTGCAGACACAGTTGCTGGAGAGACCATCCAGGAATCCAGGCCTTAGAGCGCTCCTTTGAACAAGGTCTTGCTAAGAGTTACCTGGAACCTCCAGCAGATCCTCATTGAAAGGGTGCAGTTGTGGACGCATACTGCTGAAGTCAGGGGTAAAGCCCTTGGCCCAAAGCCGGCTACTTAAAGCAGCTCCCAGAAACTCATCCTGGCCATTGCTAGGCCAGCTTGCAACGCGGTGGCTACCGGCAGTGTACTACTTGCGGCCTTCGTGTCTCTACGAGCGAAGATGCTACCTGCTGTAAGCTTTAGGTGTTATGCGACTTGCGGTTCATTGGAGTGCACCGTGCACCACTCTCATGAGCTGCAATTCTCAGGAGATGCGTGGCGGTGTAAGGGTTGTTCCAGAGTGCTTCGGCTCCATCATGCCATCAGAGAGATTGCCACGCATTGGCACAGAGGTTGCCGCTAGATTTGCTTTTCCCCATGTGCTAGAGCGCTGTGATCGTATAGCACAAAGCCGCCAGCAGCCGTAGAAGTCTGCGCTCAGCAGCAAGGATTACTGCAGAATATGCGCTTATAGGTACAAGGCATAGGTGTGCAACACACAGGTGCCCAGACGCAAGGCATCAGTGTGCAGCACACAGGTTCCCAGATGCAAGGTAAAGGTAAGCCACGCACAGGTGCAGCGCACACGTGCAAGGCCTAGGTGAGCTACATACACACAGACACAGGTGCCCAGGTGCAATGAATAGGCGTGCGCGTACAGGTCCTCAGGTGCCAGGTGAAGGTGCCCAGGTGCAAGGCATAGGAGTTTCTAATTAAGCCTATTTCCGTCACACTCCACAGGAGTTGCTCCACAATGTACGATCATCAGCTGAAGTTTACCTGCCTTGGGCCCTTTTTGGGGAGAGGGAACGAAGCTATCTGAAGCCATGAACTTATTGTAAACCTTTTACGGTTGTGGAGGTGCCTGTGCTCTATCTCAGGCATGCAGGGATTCAACACAGATACTTGACAACGCCGGTCAAAGTGGATCCACTCATCCAAGGAGTCCTCAAACTGGCTATCTTGGCTTCCGTTCGGTGCCTGGCCCCCATGATTTCTCAGCAAAAAAGCAGACGTGCTGCTCGCAAAGCGAATGTTTTCACCCGACCCGAATCGAACTCTTTCCGCTGCGTGAGAACGAATGAATGATGATGATGTCATTGTTCTGTTGGTTCTGACTGGGGATTGTCAACTCAATTGGATATCAGCTCCGTATAGCTTGTCAGGGGTTATACATCCGTTTGACGAGCGACGTTCCTCCCAAAAGCGATTGCCTGCCCTCTGAAAATCCGGAGATCGGTGTTGCGGAGGAACCGCGCGAGCGGAAAGGACGCATACATTCGCGCCGTCCTCCACCCCGAGCCTGCTACTGATCCGCCGTGCCCAAATTTCAAGCAAACAGTTGCCCATTTTCAGCCAAGTGTGGCCTGGACATCTTTTGTTCCAACATTTTGAACAAATTATGGCCAAGACGGCTTCACAGGCACGCATACAACTGGTAGCCCGCATGAGCTTGCAACATGCATGGGCAACAAGAAACCAATCACAGCTCCAAGACATGGGCGAACTTGGAGAAACTTCGCGGAAAAAAAAAAGAGGAGCGATCAAATGAACCCTTCGGGGGTGATGCGTCCTGCAAGGGGGTTAGGAGTTGAGAAATTTCTTGTCCCCTCTCCGGGGTCCTCAGATCCAGGCCTCCAGCCTCGGCGGACAAAGCCTCAACAACAAAAAGAGGAATAATATCTATTCGAAAAAGCGCACCAGTAGTGATTCAGCAGCATGCGGCCGAGTTTCGTCCCAGCCTGGTTGGTTTCGTCCGATCTGTTGCAAGAAATGAAGGCATGGAAGCCATGGCCTGGCAGGACAGATTCGCTCTCGGCCCTACCATGCTCGCACGTGTTCCATGAGGCCGTTTTAAACAAACTGGATGTCTGGATACGTTGTCAGCTGCTCACAAGCAGAGGATTGCATCTCCACGTGGATGCTGAAGAGATGTGCTTCGTGCCCTCTGTGCGGCAAGTGATGTAGGGACCCCAGCTGTGTGCCAATACTGTAATAAAAAGAATTCTTTGTGCTTAGGCCTTGGACCCATTTTGGGCGCAGACCTATGAAGACCTTTAACAGGTTCCCAGCAAAAGCCACAGAGCAGATAGCCGGAGGAGTCAGCTGAAGTTGAGAGTAAGATTGCCAAGCACTTCCAGCAGAGATGTACAAGACCGCTGACTCCGTTGTGCAGGGGCGCGACTGAAATCCCTTTAAGATCGTCGCTTTTCTTCCGCTGTAAGTGGCCGGGAGACCTGTAACTGCACGACGCATAGCCACAGTGACCTCGTCATGAAGAATGAGATTAAGAAGATCGACGGGAGGCATGCGGTCATGCTTGAATTCACGTGTACATACTGCAGTTTCGCATGACAGCTGAAATGCTGCAAATTTACAGAATGCCACCTCGAACCGGCGGTGAAACACAGGGGACAAGCGGCAGATCTTAGAAATCATGCGGCGCCACCTTGGAAGATAGAGATTTGATTTGGGCAGCTATGGCTCGATGCGGGGAGTCATGAGAGCTTACAATGTTGTGAACTACGACTCGCCTGTAGAGCTGCGGGCTCTTTCTGCCGGGTTCTTACAGATTTTCAGGTGAAGAAAAGGGAAAAGGCGCGACTCTTTTGCCTCCCTGCAAGGCTAGCGAAACCTCGAACCTCGAACACCAGGAAGCGCCATCTTCAGCTAGTGTTCGCCGAGTGAGAGGGCCGTGAGGTATGCGGCTCCTCTTTCTCCTGGAGACCCTTGCAGTCGCGGTCAAGCCGCCACAGGCGATGACGTTGAAGCACTGAAATGCGAAACACAACGTAAAGCGAGAGAGCGAGAGAGAGGCTCTCCTAGCCAAGCTGATTGCTGAGCCGGAGGACAGGACGTGTAAGTCATCTGAGGGCACCGTTTGTCTCCCAAGTGTTTCAGGATCAGTTCTTTGCGCAGCCTGCCGAGAATGAGCATGATCAGGCTTCTAGTCGAACCAACCTCAGTTGTTGTCTCACTGTGATACCTTGAGAACCTTGGCAGGGCCCGCCTCGTCCATTCTGGGTCTTTGATGCAGATGCACTGGCAACAAACGAGGCTGCCGGAGCTGTGGCATGGGTTCACATAACCTGCATCTCACATTGAAGCCAGCAGAATGGCTAAGCAAGACGTGGCAGCGGCTTGTAGTAAGGGAGCTGGCTGTGATCCCGAGTCTTGCTGGGTCCACGGTCTGCGAAAGCTCCACACAAGGCTTGAAGTCCGCTCTGAAAGGCTTGGAACTGCGCCTTCGTAATGGCAGCAGCTGGAATCTTGTGTGCAGCAGGGGGTATCGGTGGAGGAGGCCTCAAAATCTCCGCTGAATCAAACGACAGCCCTTCACGCCTTGCGCAGGGATTTACGTCACAGTCCTGATGGTCGCTGGAGGCCGGAGAAGAGACGGCATACGGCTTTGGAAGCCAGTGAGCTGACGCCTGGCAGGTCTGCCCGTGAGGGATGCTGTCCCGTTGTCTAAAGCTGTGGTCTTCATCGGGTCGATCTCCTCTCTCTTCCTGAACCTGAGGAGAAGAATTGACTTACACACTTCCAGTTGCGGGTTCCGTTGTTCCGTGTAAGTTCGACGTGCACTCCGAAAAGGCGTCGCTTGAGTTCGAGATGTTTTTTGGAAACTTTTGGAGCGAGGAAGGCGGCGGCCAGCAGCGATGCCTTGATCGATTACAACGTCTGCCGACTGGCCGGGGAGCAAAAGAAGCAATGCCTAACTTTCACACTCTTTTTGTTTCTTTCTTTTATCCTTTCCTGTCAGGTGGTGCCTGCTGCCTTGGTGGGCACCTATCTGGGGGTCCTCCTCAACTCCTTGGTCCCAACCTGGGTGTCTTGGATTGGTCTTGAAGCAGAAGGAGGGCGTCCCAGCAGAGTGCACTGCTTGAAGGCGGTGCTGCTGGCGCTGGTGGGGATTTTGGTGGCCATCTCCTACATGATCCTTCGGACAACCTGGCAGCAGCAAGCACCTCAGTGATGCCAAAACACGGCAGAGTGCGCTGGATCGTGATTACATCGGAAGGTATGCAGAGGAAGAGCATTTCAGCCACCCACCGATACCACCGGTGCCTGCTAACTCTTTAGCCAAAGAGCTTAAGACAGCCGGCTCCTCAGAAGAGCCACTGACCTGCACGGCTTGGCCTTGCAGTATAACAAAAACTGTTTCATGACGCTTGAAACTTTCTCGAAGTTAACGGTAGATGCGTCTCAGGAAAGCGTTCCAGAAGTGAGCGTGAAGTGTGTTCGAGAGGCCTGATTCTTGCAGATTTTTCTGGTGGTCTATTACAGGCTTGAGCGATTTGGAATCCAGGTGCAAACTGTCACGAGAACAGATGTCATCCTTTCGGCCGCCCTCACCCCAGTTGATCAGGGGCGCTTGACTCCTAACTGACTACCGACTGGCGGCCGGTGGATGGTGCGGTCACGGGGTCAAGCTGCGGCTTCCACTAGTTGTGGGTCCCTCTTTGTTTGATTGAAGGTCCCTCTAGTTGGAGTTGCATGCTTCTTGCGGATGAGAGGCGCCATCAGCTGTGCTTGTGGCAGCGGTGGTGGCAGTAGATATGGCAGCAGCATTGTAAACACTGCTTCTTTATCATGATTGTTGCGCCGATGGCAAAGAGACAGCGACCAGCTATGCTTGCTACGCTGCTAGGTACAGCATGACTGTTTTCATGTCCGCTGAGGGTGTATCTTCAACACAAACCATCAGAAACTTTCAAGACGGCATAAGGCTTATAAGGGTGATCAGCGAGAAGAAAGCTGTGAGCTGATTTTACAGACAGCATGCAAACTATGCAAAGCGGAGCGCAACAGAAACATCAGAGCTGCAGAGACTTCTGAAGGCCAATCTATTGTTTCTTCTAGGTTCACGGATACCGAAAGTTTGCCGTTGCCTAGAACTGTGCCTCTGAAGTTTGGAAGATCATCGTGTTCACATGGGATACGCAGCACGTGACATGTACGAGCAAAAATGAGTAGGTGCACTGCAGGCTTCAAACAGGCAATCTGGAATCCGAGATAGGGACATCACCTGCGAAATCCCGCAGTCTGTCTGAATGAACCTCAACGACTAGACTTCTCAAAAGCTCAGCTTGCATGCGTCTATGAAGTACGACTGTGGCTATTGAAGTATCCGCTGCATTACAGCCTTTTGCAAAACTTGTGCGGAGACACTAGAGCGACCTGGGACACTGATTCCATCAACGTGCAATATCGCAATACGTGCCTTGTTTTGGTGTACAGCGTCTCTTCGGGCCAACCTAGCGCTGCCCTCACGGTATGTACTGCCATCATACTTCGAGGAGAGGACAAAGATCGTTTGTTGCATTCTCTGGGCAGTTGCCATTGAACGTTCAAGGCAAGGTTTTGGGCAATCCTAATCAGGACGTGTCTGCTCTTGCCGCGATTTCTTTGCCACAGCTGGGTCTTTATGCTTGCCACACACCACTTTGGGCCAGGGAAGGGTTGAGACAGGGATACAAACCATTCCGCATGGATGATACGCTGCCAGAATTCGGCTGTTGGGGATACATCCTGAAATTGCAAGAAGCAACCACGGGATGGGTGACGCTGGTGGAAGAGTGTCTGATGCCCGGTTGCTTGTTAGTACCGTCCAACAATTGCAATCAAGGCAAGCCAGCTTCTCAGCTTAAAGCTAAGACGAAGATCTAGTTCTTCTACCTCCATCGATTTGCGCAAGCACGCCGCAACAATCAGATTAAACTCCGCAGATGCGCACCCTTTGTCATTTGTCAGCCCAGCCAGTCCAAAGATGCTGGCCGCGCCCAGCACTTTCCCAAGCAGAGATCCACACTCGCAAGTCTCTTCCGCGGGGCTTTCTAGAAAGCCTGCGGCCAAAAAGATACTTCAGGTTGAACATGACAGGAGCAGCACAGATGGTAAAATGAACCAAGGCCATGCTCTTTGTGGTGGTGACTGGAAGCGCGTTCCGCCACCACGCTATGCAGTGCCAAAAGGCGCACGAGAAGGATAGGGAGAAGGCCGACAAGGGCAAAACCAAGTAACTCTGGAGAAGCCATGTGGCCTAGATGAGCAGCGCAGGCTTGCCATCATCCGACCCTCTTCTGGTTGGAGTCAGCGACTCTGCTGTCGTGGATGCAGAGCCCAACAATAGCCGCCTTCATCAAGGCCCCCCACTCAAGCTTGCTTTCTGCTTGCATCTCCCTGCATGGCAAGCTGGGCTGTTGACGGTCAAGAGGGAAAGAGGAGATTCGGCTGCAGGTCTTCTTCTTCCTGGGACCCATGCTACTCTGCCTCCTTGTCCTCGGCTACGTGGCTGACCGCTTAGACAGCATTTGTTTTTTCCGCAGATTCTTGCGGGACTCTTGTGATGACAAAGGCCAAGAGTCTTGCAAACGCGGGCAACTTAGCCATTGACGGTGCTTGCTAAGCTGCTAGCGTGAGCGGAGTTGAGGACGGTTGGTCTTCCTCCCTGCTTGGGAAGTTCAGCTTGATGAGTGCAACGACAGGGTGTTTAGCAGGCCGGAGAACTCACAGCCAGCATCTGCCAAGCTGCCAAGCTGTGAGCTATTGAAAGCAAGGCTTTGTTGGGATTGGAGGAGGACCCGTTGTGGCAGCATGTGAGAGACCAATGCGCTGGCTGCAACGTATACAGGACTGATCTTTTCGCCTTACTTCCTGTTGATGGGCCTCGAGCCAGCGGTTGCTGTGGCAACTTCCTCTACCTGTGTGATCTTCACTGCTTCATCGACCACCTTTCAGAAGCCCGGCAAATAAGAGCTTGTAGTTGAGCAAGCAGTAAGATCAAGTGATGGTCATTAGTGAGTTGCGTTTAAATAGTTCGGTGAGTCACGTTTCATGCTCTGAGTGGCTGCTCTTCTCTTTCTCTGCGGCTTCTGAGGTATCTGCTGACCGTGCCTCGGCCCTTGGAAAGTTAAGCCGGTTAGGTCCCGTTAGGCCCGGTTCAGGGCCTTGGAGAAGTTGCTTTCCCATTTCCTGCTGTGAGGACCGCGTCATCATGTCTCTGACGCTCCTTTACGGGACAATCAACTTGGTGTCTTCGTACTTGGGGACCTCCTTGGTCCATTGCTTGCAGGACAGTACAGCTGTACTCAGTCGCAGTAAGAAGCTTCGTGACAGATTGGATAATCTAGCCGCTAGCCGCTAGCGTGAGTGTCGCCTCGACGAGGGCGGCAAAGTTCGAGTTCCGCTCGAAGATAGCCTGAGTTCTGATGTGTTGGAAGAGCGAGTAGATGATGCATTGGGTCCCCAGAGCACCATGCAGAGGGCAGAAGTCATCAATCTGCACATCCACTTAGGAAGCAGCCGCAGCGCCTATGGCCTATGGGGTGGGTGGGGCGGGGGGTTTGGGGCCGTTTCAACCGGTGGCAAGTGCAAATTGCAAATGCTGGCCATCAGCATGAGACGATGTTTGAAAGGGGCGGAGCCTGGGTGATGCGCTGAAGAAGCGAAGTGCGACACAGCCAAGAAGAGGGCTAGGTTTGCTTGGAGTCCTTTTGAGAGAAGTTGGGCTCCAGGATCACCTGAGCGCGCGTCGGTCCGCCATCTCGGGCATCGTGTCCTTGGGGGTGGTGATCAGCACCATCTTGGCCTTGAGACAACTCACCATTGAGGCCTGGACCTTCTGTCATCGATTGTGCTTTACCTTCCTTCCCTCACCGAGGTTCTCTGAGCTGGACATAGGCCGTCCTTCCAAAATCACGTGCAAAAAAGTGCTGAGCTTGAGAGCCATGCATAGATGTGCAATTCTTGTGGTCCTTTTGCCGAGAGCCGAAGCTATAAGAAGAGCTGCACTGGTGGGAAAAGTTGAGCCTCTCAGGTTAACCATTTGCAGCCATTTGGCTACCTTCAGAACATGTGTTTCTTAGCGGTGTTATCGCTCCAAGGCAATCTCTTCCCAGTCCACGCAGGGTCCAGACCTAACCATCTTTGGCCGCCAATTGCGAAGGAACCTCTGCAATAACAGCAGCAGTGAAGCAAGACAGGGTTGAGAGAAAAGACCGAGTTTGTTTTGGGCAAAGACTCTAAGCCCCTATGGCCGAGCTTGCCGGGGAATGGATCTTGCGCGCATGCATCATGCAGTGCGAAGTGCGGGCCACAGGAACGCGAGGCATGTTGCGCGGGGGCCTGCAGCATCGCCCCAGGATGCAGTGCTGGGTCGATTGCATCTGACGGAGTCGGGGGAAGTAGTCTACCTGACCATGGCCGGGGACCGCGAAAGATACGAAAACTTGGCTCCAAGCATCGTCCAAGCATCCAGCATCCGAGCATTGTGAGGACCTCCTTGGAAGAGGGCTGGGATTCTGGGTGTCCGATGGCCCTGTTCTGGGCTTCCAGGTTGACATCTTCCAGTATGAGGCTGGGATTGCTTGCGGGAGCTGCTTGGGCTGCGGGGGCTGCGGGAGTGCTGGCAAGACTGCAGGCAGCTTCGACAAAGCACGTCCAGTCTCCTCCTGAAGTGATCTGCATTCCTTGGGTGACTGCGCATGCTCTCGCTGCCCAAAGGACGGAGCCTCACCGCTTCAGAGGATTAAGCAAGTTCCCTGAGAGAGGTGTTTGGGTTGGAGAATGGCCTGTGCCCCAGCACTGAGATGTGCTCTGTTTTTCTATTTCAATTCTCTTCAGATACTCAGAGCCAGAGAGGCATTTCCTCGCCTTCCAGCAGCCACCTCGAGTGGTTGGACGCTTCCATGCACGGCGCTCCAATCCAAACCTGGCCATGCCAACTCTGACGCAAAAGCCACTGGAGGAGCGTTGCACACGTTACAGGGCCATGTTGCCTGTGCGCAATCAGCAGCGTCAGCACGCTGCATTGGTGGTGAGGGACAGGTGTCCTTTGAATCCCCGGGTCAGCGAAGTAATTCCTTCTGCATGGCAGCTGACGACATGCCCCTGTAGAAAGCTGACGATGTGGCAAACTACCTCTTTAAAGTAAAAAAACAAAAGGTCCCCCTGAGCGTTGGTGGAGAGTGTGATAGGGTTGTCTACTTGCAGCTGCCCTGAACCGTGACCTCCCGGCCCCAAAGCAGGTTATGAATCCAAGTTACCACCGTGTAATCTTCATTTCGTCAACTGTTCTACTTTACGTTTTCGTTTGTCCGACCTAAGTTCAGGGTTAGTCCTGAGGTGTCCAGGAGGCGTGCTGCAAAGTGACAACACAATGCTGTAGTTGATGATCTGAATAAGGCCCTAAGCCCTAAGCGTTCCGATCATGTATGTACCTTCATGAGCGCAATGCAGGGTCCTGTGCTGTAGCTTTTAGGGATCACATCACATGAGTCGACTTAGCTTTGGGGGCTGGTGCTGGACCATTAAGTATAGCTTATCTGAGCTCTTACTTTGTTGAGCCAGCTTCTCCTGATCCACCACCTGTCTTCTGGGGGTTTTAGCGTGTCTAGGGTTTTTAGGGTTTACGGTTTTTTGGTTTTTGGTTTTCAGGGCTTAGTGTTTTTGGAAATTAAGGTTTTTAGGGTTCAGGGCTTCTAGGGTTCTTAGGGTCTGTCGCGTCTAGGGGCTTTTTAGGTATTCAGGGCTTGGGTTTTTAGAATATCTAGAGGGGGTTTAGGGATTACATGGTTTAGGGTGTTTAGGGTTTTGTGTCTCGAGGGTTTGGAGCAGCCCATGCCGCCCGTCCCGCGGCCTGCACGGCATGGCTCGCGCCAAACTATGGCAAATAGGGTTGAAGCGCTCGCGCACAGCGGCAGCAGTGCAGCGAGCACAGTCCTGTCCGGGATGACCAGAAGTCGGCTGACACACTTACAGAAAAGAGGGCAGCGGGCTGCCTTTCTAAACGGCCAACTTGAGCCACAGGGTTGCACAGGGTTTGTGTTTTCCCTTCCGTTTGTTCATTTCAGTTTTGCGTGGGCCACATCAGCTTGGCTTCACATATGAAGTAGTGCTAAATTTCTTGTCATTTCCGCTGCTGGCATCTGTCCAGCAAGGTGGGAGCAGTGTCGTCACCGGCTCATATAATCTGGTGTTTGAGCTCGAACTCGCTGAGCATAACAAGCGAGACCCTGCATGCAATTGTGAAGTTCAAATCAAGCATGTGTTTCTTCACGCTTGGTTCCCGTCAACCTGAAGTTGCTTTCACGGAGGTCACTGCCAAAGACCTGAACGGATAGGCTACAGGGCAAGAGGGCCGCCACGCCCAGCAGCCCGATCATCATGTCACCAGTTAGCGCACAGTGCTTGTCAGGAGCGGCACGAACTCCAAACTTGTCAGATGTCTGACCACCAAAGAAGAGCCATAGTAATCGCATCGTGTTGGCGTTTGCCACTACGCCGCTAGCAAGCATCCTCTCTGTCACGGCTGTGGCCGCAAGCAACGTCGCAGTGGAATAGACAAACAAGTTGGAGACAGTTGACCAACAGGAGACCGTTGACCACCAATGTTCCGCAAATGGGTACGTTCCAGAAGTTGTACTGCCACCAGTGTCGCGAACAGTCGCTGTAGCGAAATGTACTTTGTCAACTTACAGCAGAGAATGCCGCTGTACGGCGGCAGTCCAGACACAATGCCAGCATTCTTGCTTGCAAGAACCTTCAACCCATTTCAGAAAGGGCTTAGACGGTTTGATTTCCACATCACAAGTACACCGAGTGCACATGTCGGTCAGCAACGAAACATCGTGATGTCTCAACGCCTCACGACACAAAGCAAGGCCTGTGCAAATGCCTGTTTGAATGAGCACTGTCCAGCTGCTGCTTGTCGTCAAGCCCACGAGAGGCACTTTACCTGACATCATGGCAATCCCCCAGGCGATTAGTAGTAAACAGCTCCACCACTGGAAGGGGCTCGGGCCCGAGCTAAAAAAGAACAACTATACCCTGGTTTTCCGCTGGCATTACGGCTGAAGGGCGAGCTTGGGGGAAAATCAAGCGTACCTTGATTGCACTGTGCCGCTTGTGCAATTCTGAGTTGGTGACATGCCCCTATAGAAAGTTGATAAGGTGACAAATTGCCAATCGAGAAAACTTCCAAGGAGGGTTGGTTGACAATGTGATAGGGTTTTCTACTTGCAGCTACCCTTAAGCGGGACAAACACCTCCGATGGACTCGTGCGTCACGTGTATCTTCAGATGTTTTTTTCTGCAGCAGGGTGGCTGCCAACATTCGAATCCATGTGAGGGCGTCAGCCGCACCATAAAGCACTACGAACCAAAAAAGAGAGCTGCAGTCGCCAACATCAGCAGGTAAGTAGAGTTTGCAAACTGAGTAGTTCAGAACTGGAAGTTTCCCCTGACACGACCTTTGGACTAGGAGTCGTAGTCTGGGGTGTTTCCGCTGCGTTCTCCACAGTGACTCTGTAGCTGCGTCCACTGGAGCTTGCTGTTGCATTCTGGAGGACCTGCCAGCCAAAGCCAAGAACAAGGTTTTGTCAAAGCTGGAGAAGCTTACAGAGCCATTCCCCATGCTGCACCCGTCCTGGGTCCCGCATCACCTTGCAGGTGCCAGTTTCCGCAAGAGAAGAGCCCTTCACACATGCAAATTTACTTGCGCAGGCAAAATTGAAGATGTGCACTACGTCCGAAATTTCTTAGAGCGCTGAGCTCAGAGGCATCGCGATGTGTTGTCCTTGTGCCAGCGGCAAAGGCCGAAGCAAGTTGAAGACTTCGAGAGAATCATCGACAAGACGTGTGCCCCTGCGCTTTGAGCATGGGTATGCTCCACGATTTGACTGAGACTGTCAGGTGATTGGGAGCGAATGAGGACACGCGACACGCAGGAGCTTGAATCTTAGCTTCAGCCTCGTGTGCAGGGCATGCAAGAAGGATGCTAGTGCTAGTTGGTTGCCTGGTGATGGCTGAGTTGCCATGAACTGGTCTCCCCCTCCAGCATCTGCGAGCAAAGGGAAATCACCCAAGAAAGCAATTGATTAATTGGTCTGGAAGTGCTCTACTGAACCACGGGTCATGGTCATAGTGTCCAAAGTCGGGTCACTTGCGATGTCGGTGTTCCTTTGGCGTAGACCCTTGCCAGCTCAAAGTTGCGCGTGCTTTCTGCAATGGAACTTGGCTTTGATCATCACCGAGTTTGTGTGATTTCTACTAGAATTCATGAGAGCAGTCTATGATGTCCCTTGAAGACAGACCAGGTCCTTCAGCTTCTGTCAACGCTTGTGCTGCCAGCGCCGCCAGCGCTAATGCATGTTGATACCCCAGTCTCTCGCAGGTTCGGGTCCTCAGGGCAGTGTCCGTGTGGTCGAAGCTTGATGCGGGCTGCTGCTTGGCGAGCAAAAGCTTGACCAAAAAACCTTGGCATTCTTCATAGTTAGCTTCGTTTAAGAGGCGCTTCCAGCGTGGCAGAGCAGCTTGGTGGATGCGCTGGGAACCTTGGGAGTCTTTCACCCTGTCTTGTTTCCAGCCAACAGTGCCGAAGCCCCAGAGCCTCAGAGCTTCAGAGCCTCCTCTGCCTACGCTAGGCTTTTGCATCATCTGAGCGCCAGGTCCGCCTGAACGCTTACAAGTCTCTTCCTCGGAGAATTTGAATCATCCACTGGTCCACATCCTTCCGCTGCGCTTTTGTCTTGCCTTTCAGGCCCGGCCAAGGCGGCGAGCTTAACTTGCTGAGGAGAGGAGAGGCGTTCCCACTTTCTGTGTCAGAGGCATTTTCCCACATTTGGATGGCCCTGTGTACTTTCCTCGCGCCCTGCGGCAGCAAGCTTGCGAAGAGGGTTTCCTTGTTTTTGATTTCTCAGGTGTCTTGTCTCACATGAAAGCTATTTTCATATGGCGATAATCATGACGTACGCGTGTGGGTTCAGGCTGCCATCATTAGCCTGGGCTCACACTGCATTTTCGACTTCTACCCACGCCTGGGACCTGGCACAAGCACAGAGCCATCGCAGCCAAAGTCACAAACAAAGTACCAAATAATAACGTTAAGAGGTCCATTTGAGGTGCCATAGACCAATGATCATATAAGGAATATGGAACGCCATAATATTGGTAAGAGCATAATAATAATAGTACTGATATAAATAGGAATAAGAATAACAGTAATAGCTACAACAATAATAATTTAAAATAAATACAATAGTAATAATACATAGTAGGAAAAATAATGGTAAGAAATAGTAGAGCTTGTCAGCTTGTCGCTCCCTTAGGCCAAGACGAGCCTGCTCGCGGCTTCGCGTGGGATCGAGACAAGGAGGCCATGGAACCATGGAAGTTTTAAGCAGTATTCAGTTTATATAGGGTTATATAGGGTTATATGGGGTTATGTAGGGAATAATGGAAAAGAACATGGAAACTACTGTAATGGGGCTATATAGGGTTTAGGGGTTTAGGTTGTTCAAGTACCCCTCTTCAGCAGGTACCCTCGTCACCTGACCTACCACCGGGGACGACGCTTTGAACTGAGAAGCACCCCTTGTGCCAGCTAACGTACGAGCTGCGTTTCGCAGTTCGCAGGCCACAGCTGAGCCTCCTTTTGGAACCGGGAAGCTTGCTGCTGCCTCGGCGAATCATTTGGTAGTTTCCCAAAATAATGGGACCCCCATATAGACCCCAAACTACTACAATCCTTGTTATGGGCTTGAAAATGGGACCCCTAATTTTGGGAAACTCCCATTTCTTGGGGGCCTTGAGGGCCAATTCCGGGTTGCCGTATGATAGGCTGGTGTTCTCCGGCGATGCCTTCATTCAGCACAGGCCAGGGAACAGCACAAGGGCTTGCGAAAAGAGGCGGCCCCTGAAATGCAGGCACGGCATCAAGGCGGTGGAAGAAGATGAAATTACAAAGGAGGCTCCGGCTTCAGGATCTTCAGGCTCAGTTGCTGAGTCCATAACCTCCCCAGGTCAAGAATGCAAAAGACATCGGGCTCTCGGTTGGCGACTCCCTGAGGCGACTCTGAACTTCAGCTAGAGAAAACCTGCGGCTAGCTGGCTAGCTGTCAGTGGCATCTTTGGGTCCCAGGCGTGGCAGAAGGGTGTCCTTGACGATCCGACACTTGTTGCCACGCTGCAATTGCGACAACCCCAGGTTTTGTGAGGGGGGTGGATTCTTTGATGATTGTTTAAGGCCTTGAGAGCTTAGGCAGTCCCATCTGTTGATTCCACTTTCCTTGGCACCGCTGCCGAAGCTGCGTGAATCGAAGGATGGCTTAAAGCTGACCGCTTTTTGCAGAGGGCTGCTGCGACAGACTTCGACAGACGCAACACGCTGAACCGGGCTTCAAGCTACTAATTCGTGCACGATGCGCCTCATAAACAGCAGCATTACTGGTGAGCACTTTTTCCAGGGGTGTACTACTACTATTCGCGCGTGTTACATGGATTGGACATCAAAAGATATCTCTAGCTGATTAAGTTGACGCTGTAATGAGTCCTGCGCCATTTCTAGAAGATGGGCAGAGATTCATCCAGGCTTGACTCGAGCGTTGCAGCGTTGCAACGTTACATTCGTGAGGAGACGTGAGACGAATGTGCCAGGCACCGGCACCGGCAGGCCGGCACAAAGAGGAAGACTTGAAGTTGAAGGCAGCCTGGCGGGCCTGGCAGCCTCCGCAGCTCAGAAGGTGACTGGATCAGAGCCTGTGCGAGGAGAATTTCTTGGACCCGGCTGCCACCGCACCTCAAGACCAAAAGAAAGGCCAGGACGTTAAAGATGTAAATCTACAAGTAGGCAATATGTTTGCCTTGTGCTAGGGTCATGCTCGGCTCCCCTGACAGCAGGTGCGGGGCCTGAGCGCAGACCCCTGCGGCAGATCCAGGCGTGAAGAGAGGTCCTTCACAGCTTGCTTTGTGGTGCGAACGCTCCGCATGTGTGTTGGATCAGGCAGTCGTGCAGCCGTGCCAGCTTAGCTTAACATTCGACAAAAAGGAGGAGTCTGACTCGGAGGATTACAGAAACCGCTGGAAGCGCTGGGCAGCAGACATCGAGTTCCGCCTGGCTTCTTTTGACACAGGTGTGGAGGAGGTTCTCAGAGAGAGCCCTAACCACACCGACACGGACCACACGGACCACACGGACCATGGGGTCCTCTCGCCACCTTCAGAGGCTTGGAGGCCCTCGGAACAGCTTCGACTTCTCCAGCTTCCACAGGTGCCATCAACGCTCTTTCAGCTTTCTCCCGAGCGGAGTTGCAATTATAGCCCTGCAAGTGCTGTGGGCATGGAGGAAGTGGAGAATTGCAAAGGAGACACATCCTCACTGGAGAGTTTGCAGCTTGATGATTTTGATTTCAGTTTCATGGAACGGGCTGAGAAGGAGCCGCGGGAGCCATTGGAGCCATGGGCCATTTGCACACAGAGTTCAAAGCAGCTGACACCGCTGGCAAGTGCAAGGCAGAAGGAGCCGCTTCCTTCCTGGAACTTTGACTCACTCCGGACCTCCTCTCTGGACAAGTTTGCGCGTTTCAGCGCCTGGAGCTGCCAGCGCGAAGTGGCACTAAGCCGCCTAGAAGCTGTGCTTGCAACATCAGAGTCCAAAGCCTCCCCCTCCAAAGCCCCCTCCCCAAAAAGGAAGCTGCATGCAGTCGACCTGCACACTCGCGGCCAGCAGTGGCTCGAGGCAAAGAAAGCAAGGGAGCACCAGCTACGAGAAAACCAGCGAGAAGCAGAGCTGCAGCAGTGCCCTTTCCAGCCTCAAACATCTCTCCAGTCTTCCCAGTCTTCCCATGTTCCCCAGTTAAAGCGCACGCGCTCCCTCTGCTCGCTGTATGAGCGGCAGAAGCGCTGGCAGGAGCTCCTCTTGGAGAAGCGAGACCGCCAGCGCCAGAATCGGGAGGAAGGAGGAGATCCTTTGACCGCCAGACCCAGAGCGGGCAGAGCTGTCGGAGCACACGAGGCGGACGCTGCCTTCGAGCGCTTTCACGAGCGGAATCGCAAGTGGCTCAGCACGCTCGAGCGCAGAGAGGCCGGAGCTGGCATAGCTCGCCCCTGGGTCGAGATGCGCAAAGAAAAGAAAGCCCTCGCCTCAGCCTCAGCCCGGCTCGACCGATCTCGGCGCAAGTTCTTCGCCTTCAGGTCAAGTCCGAAACCAAGCCGAAAAGATCTGAGTCACCCGGTTGTTAAGCTGTCTGTCCAACATGTCTTCTTGACGCCTCATCCTGCATTGGCTCCTGAAATCCAAGCTTCTTCTGCCAAGGCGGCGCGAAGCCGAAGCTGCCGAAGCTGTTGAGCATTGGGAAGTCTTGGAGGTCAAGGAGCATCTGCAGGCGCTCTGTTCAGGGCTCACGATGAGAACCGTCAGAATGGACCAAAAAAAAAAGAGAGAATAGCTCATTTAGGCCATCCACCGCGGGCTCCGTAGCTCCAAGTCCTCTGAGCTCGCGCCTCAGACAGTCAGCTCTGCTCACTCTGCTCAGCATAAACGCACTTCTCCTCCCAAAGACCTAGGTTGCTTTGCATGGAATGTTTTTGAGTTAAACAGTTAAACATGGGTCTGGCCATGTGAGCAAGTTCAGGCAGCATAGGAAGCGATTCGGCACCGCCCGGGAAGCGGGAAGTGATTCGAATGATTCGAGGTTTCCGTGCCGAATTATTTGGCTCGAGCTCAGGAATGCAGCGTATTGCAGAATCTACGTTCACTACGGTGTCGTACTCCTCGTGTGTGCGTGTGTGTGTGTGTG